GATATAATTTGTTTAAATACTTCATTTATTGCTTTTCATAACTCTCTTTTTTTTTATCGCTTTAATGGGAAGGCTGCACCACCCACATATCTATTGTAAATTACTTTTTTTTTCCCCATTATAATGTGAAGGCTGCACCACCCACATGTTTGTTGTAATTTATTTTATTTTATTTTTTTATAACTGTTTTACTACTTTAATGGGAAGGCTGCACCACCCACATATCTGCTTTAATTTAAATATTATATATAAACTGTTGTAATTTATTACTTTAAATAATTTACTCCACCGGATGAATAGTAACCTCCGACGGTGAATTGTACCTCCGGTGATGAATAATAACCCCGAGATGAATAGTACCTCCGGCGATGAATAGTAACTGCGAACGAAAAATGTCTGGAAAGATGAATAACAATCAAAAAGGGTAAATAGTAATTATCGTGGTGAATAGTACTGCCGGCAATGAATAGTGCCCCGGGATGAATAGTGCTCCTGCAAAATAAGTTTCCCCAGGCGGAACGGAGTAGTTTTTCCCACGTCAAGCAGAATATTTTCCAGCAATCCCCAAAGCACATGAAGTTTCTTTATTTTTATTTTATTTTATTTTATTTTTGTTTGTTTTTATTTTGAGGGTTTGTAAGGTTTTTATTTTGTTGTAATATTCCCTTCTCTCTCTCTTATTTGGTTTGTAATAATTTTTTTAAAGTGTTGTAATAATTTCCCGCCCCACTTCTTTCTATCCTATTCTTTTACTTGCATTCTTTATCTGTGAATATGCATCATATTTCGTCTTTCATTATATCCATGCTTTGTATCCATGTCTCATGCATCTTGATTCGGCTAATTTTGCATTTGTGGATTTAATCAGTTCCTATGTGATTATGTGCGCTACCTCATGTTCTTGAGATGATTCACATGTCATATCTTAGAAGCTGAATCTTTAGTTGCATCTCATGAGTGAATTGCATTAGGATTTTGTATATAAGATCATGCATATTTTACTAACTTTGTTTTGTAGCTTGTTCGCGGGTCGTCAGGCATGTAAGTTTTTATGCTTTAGCATCCCGTTTGTGTGTGTTTTTCTTACTATGTTTAGTATTCTACCATGAGGTTATTTGCTTATGTGATATAACTCTATGAATGCCAGTGGATGGAGGTTGTGTCACTTAATTTGGAATGATGTTGATTTTCATGTTTTAAGCTCAATTTATTTGGATTGTACATCTTCAAAACTCTTTCAAAACTACATGAAATCAAGTTGTTCCAAAGTGGGTGACATAGTCTATACTTGTATGTTTCACATAGTAAATTTTAGGATTTATTAAATAATCAAAACATGAACATATAAAGAAAATAAAATTCATATCTTGGTCAGTAAAGGTCGATCTTTTGATCGGGTGAGAGGGGTGGCTCAATTAATGACCTTCCCCTCTTATACTTAAGGTTCCGAACCGAGATAACTTTGGTTATGACGAACAGTGGCATTGGCACGAGTCACGGGTTTCCTAATTTCCCAAAATAATTAGGTGGCGACTCTGAGATTTGATGACGCAGTCCATTTCTGGCAATATATATATATATATATATATATTTTGCAATAAAATGAATTTTCTAAAAGTTGTCAAATATGGATTCTTGTCTATGTTCACTTTGCACTCGTAACACTAGATCAAAGAGACCGAGGGTCCGAACTGTTTAACGCGCACAGGTACCTCCTGGGCATGTTACAAAGGCACAGTTCTTGATAGCATTGTGCTTGGCCGGAAGGGGACCCAGGAGAGGCCGAGGCTCAAGGGGTTTGAGATGGCCTTTTCCAACGAGGATTTGGAGAGCTTTGGATAAGGCCATGTAAAGCGGGGTGAAGACCCTCTGGCCTCGGGCCTGAAGGCTTGAGGTTTGTGAAATTGTGTTGGATGTACCGGCAAAGGGGTTGGCAGGTGCTGACTGGGTTTGATGATCTCTTCCAAGTGTAGGATTGGAGTTGAAAGGGGCGTTTCTGGTACGACATCCCTTTTCTCGACTTGCCCCTTGATTCGAAATGCCCCGAACCTGAGTGGCAAAAGTGTCATCCACAGTCTTTGCAACAACTGTGAGCACTTGTTGTTTGTTCAGTCCTTCAGCCTTCAAAGCCTCAATAGCCCACTGAAGATGTTCATAGGGACCAATGCCTGCCCCTACCTTGTTCTTGCCATTTGCCTCTACTTTGCCCGGGGATTGGGTCGCTATATCAGAGTGGACCCCCAGTTGTTGTTAACATGTCATTGCCCAGACCTGAGATAGCTTTAGGTTGGCCATTTTAAATTGCAACTTGCCCCAAGATTGGGGAGCCTTTTGGTGTGAAATTTCTTGCATGTGATGTGGTCGATGATGGAGCTAAAGGTTCGAGTGCATCCATCATGCACAAGCCCATGCTGACTGAAATGAACACCACAGGCTTGGGTAAAAGGGCTGGGGTGATGTATATGCTGGAGTTGTAGGTGGATGGCAGTATATGGATTAGATTGAGATGTGGAGGTGACGGGTTAGTACTAGCCCGAGGTCCTTTTGGTAGAGTTATGGTCGCTTCATCAATAAGATCCTGAATCTTATGACGGAGGTGGATGCAACGGTTTGTACCATGACCGTGTTGTTGATGATAGGCACAGTATTTAGCTGGGTCATAACTTGGTGGAAGAGGATTTGGAAGGGGTCAGGGTTCTAGGAGCTCTAGGTACCCTTCTTCTCGCAGCATTTTCAAAGCTTCAGAGAGACTCATGTAAAGAGGATGGAAATTTTGGGCTTGGAGCCGAGTTGAAGTGGTTGGTCTTTGGCTACTATCAGGAGGAGGGTTTTTGATAGTGTAGACTGCCCGAACTCCGCTTCGCGCACGAGGGCGCGAATTATAGTTCTAGCTACTACAGTTCAGACTCCTATCACGGTTCTGAATCTAATCTCACACAGTGCAATGTAAGACTGATAAATCACCAAAGATTCCAAATCCGGCAAATCATTTTGGAAAATCGATTTTAATCAAAAAGCGCCAAACATGGACTGCTTTGCCAAATTTCAGAGTCGCCACCTAAATATTTTATTTTACGAAATTTAGGAAACCCTAACTCGTGCCTAAGGCCATGTGTCGGTCATCACGAAAGTTGCCTCGGCTCGGGAACTTGGGTACGAGAGGGGAAGGTCCTAAAATGAGCACCCCCGCTCGCCCGATCAAAGGATCAGCCTCTACTAACATGATATGTTGTTTTTTAAAACGCATACGTTCTTATTCCGGTTTATTAGCTAACTTACTATGTGATACACACAGCATACAAGTATCGACTAAATCACTCAATTTGGAACAAAACATCTCAAGTTTGTTTTTCGAAAATGGTTTGAAAGTGCTACTCGCAAGTAGGCTAAGTCGTGAATTTGCCACCCTCAAGTGGGCTTAGAAAACAACATGATTTTGCCACTCCGAAAAGTGGGCTTAAAACGCATATTTTGGTGAATTGTTCCAATTCAAGTAATGAAGCCTTCATTCATAGGCATTCATGCCTTTAAACACATAAACACATAGCCTCATGGCAATCATGCTATCATGGCAATCACTTACACACATGCAAGGATGCTAAAGCGTAAACACTCACAGAGTACTCTTAGCCAAAACAGAAGCTAGTTAATAATCAATGCATGATCCTAGCTATGTTAAGATGCTTAATGCAACACATGCAACTAAAATAGGCTCGACTATCTAAAATGGGATATGAATGCAACACTCGATAACATGCTTTGAAACACGTATTCAAGTAAGTATTGAAATTCAATGCAGTTTGTATGATGCGCCGAGCCCGGTGCATGCAATACGAATGAATGATGCAAACATGCAAAGCATAAGTATGCTAATTGAAATATGCCCTAAAACTAACCATCGAAAGCAGCTAAGTAAAAGGGACAAAGAAATGGGGGTTGGAAGACATGCATCACACACACGCACACTTATTACAACAGTTGTGCCCTCTCGACAGAGGGTCCGAATAATAAGTAAACTAGCTAATCTAAGCTAATTAAACTAACTATTACAAGTTACAACTAATTAACTATTCCTAGTTAACTAATTATTACAAAACGAAGCTAATTAACTAACAAGTTAACTAATTACAAACACAAATGAATAGCTAAGTGCATTAACTACTTAAGTACAGAACCAAATAGCTAACTAGCTAAGCAAAGTAGTTAAAAGAAGCCTCGGGGCGAGAAGTGCATGCATGCTCGGTCGCCTCGTTCGGAAATCCATTACTATGCCCCAACTTGCCTCTGTTTGCATTTGATCTGAGAACACTGCATAAGCTTCCAGATAACTTCTACTCCAACAAGGAGACCTCCAGGAGGGCTGCCGACCAGAAAAGGGTGGTGTAGACCACCTAAACATGCTGCTGACAAGAAACAGTGGTCGGCCAGCTACTTTTTCTGGTCTGCCGACCAGAAAATCTTCCCAAGCTCCAATTTGCTGCAACAGAGAACAAGAAGGGGCACAACAGTGTATTTGCAAGGTATGTGTGCACAACCACCCTCCCTATCATTTCTCAAGCTCAAGGGAGTGCAGTTCTCGACTCTCGGGCCACCAACCGAGCATTGCGATGCACAATGGCCGAGAAGCCAAGTTTTCACAATTCAATGTCAATGAATGCACAAATAACACGTGATGCAATGAATGCATGCAAACAACAATGCAATATTTACAAATATGCAATGGAATGGATACAATGGATATGGCATACAAGCCAAACCAGATCTTGCCTAGGAAAGGCATGTACACGTACGAGCCATGTGTAACACAGAAAAGGTGCCGCAACCCTCAACCAACATACCAGCGTGGAATCGGCGCGATACACATGCAGAACTGTGTTTTAACATGAAAAGTAAGGGCACATACCGGACCAAGCTCAACCTGGAAGGGCGCAGGCCATAGGCGGAAGGCGATGCAATGAATGCATGCAATCTACAATGCAAAATGACTTTTTGCGTCACTTCTTTTGCTACGGTCAAACAAGCGGTCACAAAAAAAGAAAAAAAAGAAAAAGAAAATATCAGCAACAGCCATAACTTATAAGGGATGCAAATAACACGGCTTTCTTTAATTAATTTTCCCCAATTTCAATTTCATAACTTTCTCTCTCTCTATGATGGAAGCTCTCAATGTGCCTTAGCTCTCTCTCGCACTCACCCATGGTCGTCACAGGTATGGCTCCCTCTCTCTCTCTCTCTCCCCTTCAATTTCTCAATCTCTCTTCTCTCTTCTCTCTCTCTCTCTTAAATTGTTTCTGAATTCAGAAACTTGTAATGTACCTGTCAATTTGTTGAATTTTCAGGTGATTTCATTGCAAATTAGGTGATTTCATCGGTGTCTTGTGAGAATACAAGTAATTTTTCAATCCTCAACCTCCTCTATCACCTCTGCTTCTCTCTCTATCTGACTTAGGAAATCTAGGTTTTCAATTATTTGCAATTCTTTCTTTTCTCATCTGAAATGTTTCTATCTATTTTCAATTCTTCTCACATATACATGCATATTTATATACACACATCTGAATTCGATTATTTTTTGTTCTGCGATTCATAGCCAATTTCGCAAATTTCATAGAATTTAGGAGAGATACTGTGAGAGAGCAAAAGTTAGGGTTTGATTCATTTACTTTTTATTCTCCTCTCTCTCTCTCTCTATGGCTTTGTTACTCACAATTACATAGAGTTTTTAAAAAGAATTTATGACGCTATTCAAACAAAAAATTTCTATAGCCTAAATTTTGTATAGACTTGTTTTATTTTAATATTTTGTCTGATGAAGGTGCATTGGAATTTTAATTGAATTTTTTTGTAGTATAGCTAGTGTTTTGTTTATTTATTTGAATTTTTTACAGCTTAAAAAAATTAGTTTCATATTAAAGTTAACATGTGAAGCACAATAATAATTTTCCCCACATTTACATTCTGAAAATTCACATAATAGCAGTAAGAATGATAGCATCTAGCTATTTCGATTTGTATTTTCAGTTTAAATGTATTTTGTAGCTCCGTAAACCCTGGTGTTTAAGCCCTTTTTTGGTAATTGTTCGACTTAGCCCCTGTTGTTTTTGGTAATTGTTCGACTTTGTTCCTATCTATTAGTTCATTTGTCTTCATGTTGAATCAAAATTACCGCTTCTCTAAACCTGATTTGCTGGGTATATTATTTTTAATAAAAAGTGATACTGTCATAAAACTAATCGAGTAACCTATCACAGTATAAATTACACACGTATTTGTACATGTAATTAGATTTTTTATCAAGCATTTGAATAAAATTTGTTTACAAATGGTTATGTGATTATGTCAAGAACCAAGGGCTTGATCAAATAAATTGAGCAACGTATTCTTTTGTTGATGATAATCCTCTCAAATTCTATATTAGGCGTATCAATGGCATCACTGACGGAACTTTCTTTCCACTGGACTGGTTTCATTAGTGCGATGATTTCAAATATTGCATTCACTTACAGGAGTATCTATTCAAAGAAGCAATGGTAATGTTCACAACATGTAATTATTCTTAGTATTCTAAATTGTGGTTTTAATTTTATGGGATGGAAGAGTGTGGAAGAACACAATTAAGGTCCCCTTCTTGACCTTTAATAATGCTTGATTATCTCTTATGTTGCTTTCGACTTTTCTAAATGCAAGAAGTAATGGTGTTGAACACTTGACACGTGTAAGACTTAAAAGCGTACAGGATTTGTGTCCAATGTGCCTAGTTGGACATGCACCCAGTATCTCTTGCTTAGTCTATTAGGTAATTTTTATAACACTAAACTTTACTAACTAGTATCTTTTTATAGTGTGAGTGACAATGTTAATATCAATTTGGTATAAATATAAAATTGTGGAAAGGTTCTTTCTTTGAATAATGGTTAATAAGATTGTGACATGATACTTCTCTTAGTCTTTCCTAAACCAAAGCATACATGATTATTCAAAACTGTAAGCTTATATAGACTAACAACACTAACTAATATAAGCATGAATCAAGTTCATAATCCTATGTTGAACAAACTTTTAACTTCAAGAAGTGCTTGTAGTAACTCATTTTCAAATCTCTAATTCAGCATCTCAAGCCATGTCAGGCTCTATAACAAACCTAATATTCAGTCATAATCCTATGTTCTCAATATACAGTGTGCCTGCAAGTTTGTGTGTGTAGGCTAGACCTTAGTACACGGAGATAAAATAAAGGACAATTAAATTAACATGATGGTGTACTCTATATGTGACTAATTGGTTTTAAATCAAAATTAAAATATAGGATATATACATGGGGTTGATGATTGATCTATGCCATAAGTTTGATCCAAATAAAAAATGAACATAGTGTGATAAGAGTGTAAGCTATCTTCTTTGATGATATCAATGCACATGAAAACATTTTAAACTTCCATGAAGTACATAACTTTCTCCCAATTTTTGAGGTCTTCTATGATGGTTGTTTGTCTCTTCTTCAGTGATCTTGGAAACGCAGCATTATCTGGCCAATTTTTGGTCCCTCAGCTTGGCCAGCTCAAAAATTTACAATACCTGTAAGTCTATTTTTATGTGTTTGCCTAAATGTTGCCTTGGATTTTTTTAGTTTGTCTTGATATTATTACTTTCTATTACTAAACCATCCCTCCCTTCCTCACTCTATTAGTCTGTCCAATCATGGTAAAAAACCCTTTGTAATTATTATTGATCTAACATTACTGGTCATCTGTATTGTTCATCTGTTAACATTATTGATCTAACAACTATAAGCAGTGATCTGCATTTCTAGAAAAATATTCATGTTAAACATTAGGTTTGGCATTACATTTTATCTCTCATCTATTTTTCATTTTGTGAAATCTTTATATGCAATTAATTGATTCTGTTAATTTGTTAAATATTGATGTTGGCCACTGCCATATGTGTCCTTGTTACAATATCTATAAGGGAGCACATTGTTTCCATACACCATAACAGATCACCAATAGCTATTTCACTAATGTTTCTAAATACTTTTTAGTGTTCTACAGAAATGTAAACACTGATATTTATGATTCTTTTTTCCTCACAATGTTTCTGAAATATGCACTAATGTAGGGGATCACTACCTAAAACCATTTGTAATATCGAAACCAGAAGTCAGAGTGAGCAGAAGAACCAGTGCAGATGAATCTCTATTTTTCTAGAAATAGAGATTTGGATGTTAGCATGGTTCTATATTGAGAAATGCTATATGTCAACTGATATTTATATGAGAATAAATTATACATATTTAAACCATGGGTTCTTATTTAGATATCAACACTACAGAGCTCTCCAAATAATCATAGTGCACCTGACAGCTTATAATCATTGAATTATTTATTTGAAGGTGAAAATTGCTTGCGCGGTTCTCAAATAGGTAGAAGTCATCCAAAGAACAAGGGAGGAACAGAGCCATTATTCCATCTTACTGGTGCACATTTTTATCAAGCTTAAGTACTACTTATCATTGGTTGATGCTGGAGCCTCAGAAGGTATACAACCCCATGACTTCTTCAAAAGAAAAAAAAATGCTATAGTTTTGTATTTAACACCATGATCTTCACTACAAAAATGATATAGTTTTTGAATTATTATTATTTTCTGTCATGTTTAGTTTGCAAGTGTTTTGTGTTGTAATAAAAAACTATTGACAATTCATTGTACCTATTTTATTTTTCCAGAATCATGAATATAACTGTGAGTCTGTGACTATATTGAAATCATAACAAGAAGGAATGACAAAGATTAAAAAGAGATGCAGACGCATAGGGTTAAGGCTTAACTTGTTGGGTTATGTTGTTGTTCTAGAACCTGTAGTACCCAAGATGAAGGTGCTTCAAAATAAAGGCATAAAAAAACATAATAGTGATTCCTCTAATCTTTTTCAGCAGAGATGTTTGTCTGTGAACTTCTAATGGGTTACACAATATCTTTGAAATTATTGTACTCTTTACTGCTTATGTTCAGTTTGTTCCTTGATATAATTTCAGTATTGAGTGTATTAGTTGATGTTTTAAAGTTATTTGAACTTTTTACTTCATTTCTATACTTCAAATGTGATCTTCATACATTGTCAATGATCCAGTTATGGGATAGCTGCAATTGTCAAGGACCAAGGAAGTTTGTTGTCCTACACCTTCGGTTTGACAAGGTATGGCCTGATTCTTTTATAAATATTTAGTGATCTGAGTATATAATTTTTTACTATAGGTTCCCTAGTGTAGAGAAAGAGGTACAAAATTTGACTCTATGCTTTGATGCGTATATAGCTTAAAGATCAACTTCAGGAAGGCTAGTTGATTTTGCTCTTCCATTCTTCATATATTTTCTTGGTCCTCACAATCTTTAATCATTCTAGTCAGCCAAACAGTACCATCATTATTTGCCCTCTCGGCCTTACTCATTGGCTTTGAGCTTTGGGCCTTTCTTCTTGGAATGTTATATGACACGTTTTCAATCCTAGCCATGCTTGTAAAGAAGATTAAAATAAAATGCATGCAGTGATAATTTGTTAGATCAATTAAGATTGCCAAAGTACAAAACTGATCAACTTTATAGTATTATGAATATGTTTAAGGTTACCTGTTTACTCTGTTGCTTGAGTAAAAATCTGACCTCTTCTAATTAATATGCAGACATGCTGTCCTGGAACAAAAGCACCTGATTTAGAAGAAGATGATAAATTGTATGAGGACTTCAATATGGATGAAGTTGACTTGAATATTTAGAACTATGAAGAAATATTTGGTGTAGCTCTTAATGATCCAGAACAATTGTTTGGTAATGATGGAATTGGTAGCTTGTTTGGAGTGAAGGACATATCCGGTGCTGATTTGAACTGTTGAGGCACATATGCAGCTGAGGTACTCTTGCTTTCTCTTATGTTGCTTAATCTTATCCTTATAATTCTCAAGTGTGTCTACTTCAACTCTTCACTGCACAAAATATTTTCTACTGCTTCATGCTCCAGCTTTGATAGCTTTTAAAAAAGAATTAGGGCTTGTTGAATTGGTATTGGGAATGAGGAACTAGCAAATCTTGTCTTCTCATGAAAGGGTAGAGTTACTTAAACTCATTAATGTTTCTTGAAGCTTAGATTCAAGAGGTCAAGCCTCAAGTTAGTACGAGCTTGGCATTCATTAACTTGAGGGAGTGCTTATTGAAATTTTCTCAAGAAACTGTTTTCTCCTTTTACAAATTGTTTAGTTATTTTCAAAAAGATGTTATAAGTTGAACCATTGTAAAGTTAGTATAAATCATGGAATTTCCACTTTCTCTTGATGCTTTGTATCATTAATTTATCACACTTTCTATATATTGGAGAGTATGAATCAAACGCCACCTGTGGGAAGAGATTATCATCTATTGGCCTGGACAACACTAAAGTGAACAGGCAGGCTTATAGACAGCTTTTGTTGACTACTCCTGGCCTGGGTGAGTATATTTCTGGTGCGATTCTGTTTGAGAAGACACTTTACCAGTCAACAACAGACGGGAAGAAGTTTGTGAATTGCTTGCGTGAGCAAAACATTGTACCTGGAATCAAAGTCAATAAGGTATGCTTTCTCGTTCAAGTTAATTACACTAAACCTTTCTTTATATCCTTGTCTTGTTAATTTAACTCTCCCACTTTTTACACATGTTTTCAGGATTTAGTTCCCCTACCAGGGTCCAACAATGAATCTTGGTGCTAGGGATTAGATGGATTGGCTTCTAGATCTGCCGAATACTATAAGCAAGGTGCTCGTTCAAGTCAATAAGGTATGCTTTCTCGTTCAAGTTAATTACACTAAACCTTTCTTTATATCCTTGTCTTGTTAATTTAACTCTCCCACTTTTTACACATGTTTTCAGGATTTAGTTCCCCTACCAGGGTGGCCTAAACTAAGCCAAAATAGAGGTATGCCATACTAAAATAAGGCCAAAAATAGGCTGAGATGGAGCCAAAACAAGCTTGACAAACATGCTACTTTGATGAGCCATTAACACAAGCACACAAGAGAAGAGGAGGGGGGACAACCCCCACCCATTTGGGGCCTCAAAACACAATTTCTACCATTGAAAGTCCTCTGGATTTCAGTAGCTAAAAGGCCAAGAGAAGACGATCTCAAGGGCCTAAAAGGATAGCACAAAACAAAGCCAAACAAGGCACAAGAGGGGGTAGACCACCCCCAACACCAAAGAGGTCTCAAACAAACACTTTAAGCTCTTAAAATCAGAACTTTTTACAGTTTAAAGTTAGGCCTAAAACATCATGAAAATAGGGCCAAAGACTTAATCAAAACAAAGCTTGAAAAAGGCTAGAGTCTCACCCTTGTAGAACAACTTCAAGGAAGCAACTTCAGCAACTTTTTTGGACCAAAAGCAATCCAAAAACCTCAAAACCAGCTTCAAGGTGCCTCAGCTCCACAGCAAAGGTGTTTCACTAGGTGTTTGTGTGCAAAAGTGTGAAGAAATGGCACTTTTAAGCACAAATGTAGAGAGAAAGGAAGAAGTATAGAGATAGAGATATATCTATAGCTCCAATGCAAAATTCTAAACCTGAGACAAGAGGGAGGAGGCTCCCTTTTATAGAAAACCATGCTCCAAGCTTTTTTAGCAAGCTAGAGGCTCCAAGCAATGTATGGAGGATGTTTTCTGTGCCTAACAGCTGGCACAGCTGGCAAGAAAATATCTGTAAAAAAATACAGAAAAGGTGCCGACCAGTTGAAGTGGTCGGCTAACCACTCCCACTAGTCGACCAACCACAAAAGGTGGTCTGCAGGGAGAACAACTGGTCGGCAAGGGGGGAGGTGGTCTGCACAAAGAGAGGAAGGTGGTGTCATGGCTGCCGACCATTTTAGGTGGTCCACAGACCACCAAGACCAGCTGGCCGACCAGAAAACTGGCTGGCAGGGGAGAAAAGTGGTCTACAGAGGGAGAAACTGGTCTACACCCCTGTGCCACCCTCCAGGAAAGGGAAAACAAGGTTTGGTTCAAAACCAAACCAAAAAGGAAGCAAGACAAAAGTCCGCAGGACAAGGCACGCAGCCAAAAGCCCCGAAAACTAGTCTACGGGTACAAAAAATGGTCTACGAGAGGGAAAGGTGGTCTACAGCCACAAAAGGTGGTCTACATACCTCTGTTTCCCTCTAGGCAAAGTCAACAAGGTATGGTCCAAAAACTAGGCCAAGAGGAGAACGTTAAGAGGTTCCGAGACAAGGCGCTCGGCCGAAGGCTCCGGAAACCGGAAACTAGCCTACAAGAGGGAAAAGTAGTCTACGACTACAAGAAGTGGTCTACAGGCCTCTCTCTCCCTCTAGGCAAGGTCAACAAGGCATGGTCCACGAACCAAGCCAAAACACAAAGAGTTCAGAGGCCCAAAGGCAAGGCACTCAGCCGAAAACTCCGGAAACTCGAAATGAGCATAAACATGCGCGATCATCAAGCGCTCAATCAATGACGTCTGAGTCTTAAGGTCGGTCAAAAATAGG